CGAAGAAATCTATACAATCCCTCAACGGCGTACTCACCTCGCTTTCCCGATTCATCGCCAAGTCCGCACAACACGCCCTCCCTTTCTTCAAATTGCTCAGAAAAGAGGCCACATTCGAATGGACAGAGGAATGCAAGCAAGCCCTCCATCACCTCAAACGCGTCCTGTCCGAACCACCCGTGTTGACGCGACCCGAAGCTGGAGAAACCCTATACCTGGTCGTGGCTAACGAGGCCGTCAGCACCGTACTGATAAGGGAAATTCACAAAGGGCAAAAGCCAATCTACTTCACGAGCAAAGCCCTCCATGGTCCCGAAGTAAGATACCAACAGATTGAAAAGGTCGCTTTGGCCCTCATCAGCGCTGCATGACGCCTCCGACATTACTTCTTGGCCCACACCATTGTGCTCAGAACCGACCAGCCAGTCAGGCCTCTCCTCGGCCGACCAGACATGGCTGGACGAATGCTAAAGTGGTCCTTAGAACTATCTGAGTTCGACATCGTCTACGAAGGAAGGAAGGCCCTCAAAGCTCAAGTCCTGGCCGACTTCGTCGCCGAGATGACCCCCTCGCCAGACCCTATCACAGGGAGCCACAAATGGACTATCTTCGTCGATGGCTCCTCAAACTCCACGGGCAGCGGCGCGGGCATCATCCTCAATAAAGAAGAAGGCACCATCATAGAAGTCTCTCTAACACTGGCCTTCCCGATGACAAACAACCAAGCCGAGTATGAGGCGTTCCTGGCCGGGCTCCGCTTGGCATCAGACCTCGGGGCCAAAGAAATAAGAATCTACACGGACTCCCAGCTGGTCGCCTCACAAGTACGGGGGAAATATCAGGCAAAAAACGATAACCTCGCCGAATACCTGGCACTCATTATAGAAAAAATGCAAATCTTTGACTCCGCGGAGGTTCAACACGTTCCACGCGAACAAAACACTCGAGCAGATATTCTCTCAAAACTAGCAAGCACCAAAAAGAGGGGCGGACACAAGTCGGTCATCCAGGAGATCCTATCGTAGCCGAGCACGAAAAAGGCTGATGCACTTCTCAATGTCAACGCCATAGGAGATATCAACTGTTGGATGACGCCGATGCACGCCTACCTCAACATAGGTCGCCTCCCCGCCGACCCCAAAGAGGCCAACACGATCAAACGACGATCCTGCTCGTACGTCCTTCTCGAAGACAAATTATACCGCAGAGGCTTCGCGGTCCCCTTCCTCAAATGCGTTTACACCTCTCAGGCTGTTTCCGTTTTGGAGGAAATCCATGAGGGAATCAACACGCAGCACCTCGAGGGAAGATCCCTGGCGAGAAAGGCCCTACGAGCAGGATACTACTGGCCATCGATGCAAGAGGACGCACGAGAGCACGTCAAGAAATGCGACAGATGCCAGCGACACGGGGACATGCACCTCGCCTCACCGAGCGAGCTCAAATCCCTCTCCTCCCCTTGGCCATTTTCCTGGTGAGGGATGGACATCCTCGGTCCCTTCACATTAGGCTCGTATCGGAACAAGTACCTGATCGTGGGCGTCGGCTACTTCACCAAATGGATTGAGGCCGAAGCCCTTGCCAAAATCACAGCCCACAATATACTCTGATTCTACAAAAGAAATATCCTCGCAAGATTTGGTGTCCCACTCGCCATCGGCACCGACAACGGCACGCAGTTCACCGACAAAAATTTTCGGGACTTCGTCACCAAACTCGGGACCAAGCATCACTTCACCTCGGTCGAACATCCTCAGACGAACGGCCAAGCCGAATTCGCGAACAAGGTGATACTCAGAGGACTAAAGCGAAGACTCGGCGACACCAATAGGGCATGGGTCGAGGAACTCCACAGCGTCCTATGGGCATACCGAACTACGCCTCACTCAACCACGGGGGAAACACCATTTCGCCTCATATACAGAATCGAGGCGGTGATCTCGGTCGAGATACGAGAGTTGTCCAGACGAACCGAGGCTCCCCTAGAGGCTGAAGACAACGATGACGCCTTCCGAGAAGAACTCGACCTAGTCGAAGAAATTCGGTCGGGGGAAGCTCTTCGCGAAACCCGACTGAAATAGCAGGTAGCACTTCGCCACGACAGCAGAGTCCTGAAACGCGAGTTTCAAATCAGAGACTTAGTCTTGCAAAGAAACCAGAAAGACTCCCACGAAGGCAAACTAGCCGCGAGTTGGGAAGGCCCATATCGTGTTCGCGACAAGACGGAGCACGGGGCCTATTACCTCGAAAACCTACACGGGGAACAACTAGCTCGACCATGGAACACTGAGAAGCTGAAATGGTACTACAGTTAAGCACTGCCCGTGACGCCCAGGCGTCGCGACCACAGGGGGGCGCCATGGTACCACCGCAGCTCCTCGAGTCTCCTACAGACCAACAAAACAACAAGCCTTGCCTTTGTGTGTGCAGGCAGAAGGCTCTGCTCGACGGTATACCCCTCGATCGAGACTCTCCATCGCTGTACCAGAATCGGCAGGACACCCAGCTCGCGATGGGACGTTCACGCCGCGGGGATAAACTACCCCTGAAACGGCCAGGTAACAAAACCGGTCAACCGACTAGTTCTCCACACTACCGGGAATAATTATCGTCGAGCTACCACCTCGGACGGGCCCAAAGGCATAACAAACTGGCGTTTCAAACATACAAGCACATATTTCGAGCATACAAAAGTGCAGAAATAAAACGAGCATAACACCGCGCAAAAACAAAACAAAGCACACACTTAAACAAATTTCCAAAAGCATATCATATAAAAGCGGGCACCAGCCCAGAAGTTAATATTACATCGCCAAGAAGGGCAAGCAGGCCTGGTAAAGAAAACACTTAGAAAATTATACAAATTGTTTGGCACGCAGGCCAGAATACGCGGGCACGCAGGCCCGGAATTAATCTATGCTCCTTCTTCCTCCTCCACCTCAGGATCAACGGGATGGACAACGGGACCAGCCTCCTCAGCGCTGGGGTCAACCACCCGACCATCGATTATCTCGTGAAAGGGCCCGATGCCGTCCTCGACCAGGGAAACTCCAGAGTTCACCACCTTAAGCTGCGCGACAGCACCATTGAAACCCGCTGCGAAAGCCTCCAGGAAGTCACCTTCCAGCACCCGTATCTTGGCGAGCAGATCAGCCCGGGTAACCATCTGCCTATCTTCGTCGGTCTCATCGTCAGCAGGACGAAGGCCACCCTCCATCTTCTCCACGCGAGCCTTCAGTGCCCGCACTTCCTCCTTAGGGGCCTTCAACCACTCCTCAGCGCTATCCCCCCTCTTGCGCTCACTGGCGGTCTCCCCCTGACTCTTCTCCAGCTCTTCGGTAAGTTGAGTCACCCTTCCCCGGTTCAGCTCCAGATCCTCGACGGCCTTGTTCAAACGAGACTGCGTGAAAGCGAGGTCCCCCTGCAGCTTAGACAGCTCGACGGCCGAGCAGCTCTCCTTGCTCAGAACCATCGCCGTGGTGAAGGTCTGCATCAAGGCAGACAAATCCTCCGTCAGGACCTGCCTACGCGTAGCCCGGTCCGCACTTAGGACCGCCTTCGCCTCTCCGGCTAGAATACTGGACGACCTGGCCCCGTGGAAATAACCAGGGTGCTGATGGCAGGGCGCGATGGAGTAACCTTCCTCGGCGGAGTCCGCTGATAAGTCGACCACTGTTTCCACCTCCTGAACCCTGGGCCTCTTCGGGGCCCCCTGGGATGTGGGCGACCGACTGTTGGGAGGAGACGAGGATCCCCTGCCATCCTGATCAGCGGAAGCCTGCCCGACCAGCTGGCCAACCCGCGTCTTCGGAAGAGCATCGACCTTCGACGCGCGCAACTTCTTCACCTGCTCCTCGACAAAGAGACATGTCCTCGGGCAGGACAACGTGTCCTTCACACGTTCTCCACGTGCCCCCCTCTGCGGGGACACGTCACCGACCAACTGCCCACCTCCGAAAGAGCATGTCAAACCCACTTTCCGGAGATCACGAGACTGTTGGACTAGGGCGAAGACCACATCCTGGTCTTCACTACGCCATGTAAGCCCTAGCAGTCACCTAGGTTGGGCCTGACAATCCAGCCCAACACAAGTGACCGTTGGCCCAACGCTGGGGTCTCTTTATAAATACCCTCTTTCACAAGAGGGTTAGGTAATTCGATTCTTACCCCTTTTCTGTACTTGTGATCACTCTGCCCATACGCTTACTTTAGCATCGGAGTGTCTTGCAGGTACATCCCCCTCCTCTTCTTCAACACCGGTGAACAGACAGCAAGTCGACGACACGTGGCAGTCAGCGATCTCCTTCTGATCAGGTCATATCAGATTCTAATCGAGTTTTCTATATAAAGATGTTCATGCGCTAAAACTCATGTATTTTTTCATTCTCACACTTACGCTATTTCTTTTTTTATTTATTGACTTAAACATTAAAGTGTTAATCTTACGAATTTAATCAACTCTATTATATCAAAAACTCTATTATATTAAAAACTTGTTTCACCGCTCCTAAGTTCCATTTTACTTTTGTTATTAACTATTTATGATTCTTAAACAAATAAGATACATTTAAATATTAATTCCCTATTTGACTAAATACTAGTCTTAATTTAACAGAACATTTGTTATTACAAAATATATTTATTGTAAATATGCTAGATATTACAACCATCCGAGACAAATAAAAGAAAAACAAGTACCTCAAAGAGGTTGGGCAAGGAGAACCTTACATCAAAAATAAATTTTACAAGCAAATTGACCAATCCATGCCATGCCAAGGAAATTAAAAAAAGAAAAAAAAGAAGAAAGACAGTTCCCACATCATATCTACAAACAATGCGTTTCACTAAATAACATGACACAACAACAAAAAGTCAAGTGTACCATATTTCACAAAAAGTGCAACTATCAGAAAACAGAGAGAGATAATAGTACTATATCTATCTATATCTTCTCTTTCCTTTCTCCACCAATGGTTACTGTACAAACAAACAAACCCACCATGAAGCTATCTACTACCAAACCCATTTCTAGTCCAAGTAGAATCGATAAATTCCCACCACCATTGATGAGATTCTTAAGAACGAACGCAGGAAACAGAAGCAGAGGAAGGTCAAAATCAAAACCAAAATCAAGTAACTCTATGTTCCAAATCCTAAGGAAAAAGAACACTACCTCCATTGAAACCAAAGAACCCTCTTCCCCAAAAGTCACTTGCATGGGTCAAGTTCGAGTCAAACGCCCCTCCAAACAACCCACAAAAAAGGGTATATCCGGTGACGAAGCTCCGACTAAATGCCGCTGCCGGTTCTGGTGGCCGTGGGTCCCACATACAAATGACTGGTTTCGGAGAAAGGGAAAAGCCTCTAAAGGTTCAACGAAAAATGGGCCGAAATCGAAAGAATCAGAAAGAGAACAACAACAACATGAAGAAGAAGAAAACAGAACAGTTAAAGTTAAAGCTTTCGTTTCAAACTCTAACGATTGTGCTTCTTCTCTTTGTTCTACGCCACCGAGAAATGCTCTCTTACTTACGAGATGCAAATCAGCACCTTATAGTTCTTCTTCATTAGCAAGTAGGTTTTGGGGTTCTCCAATAAAGAACAAAGAAACAGAGCAAGTTTCTGAGAAACAGGCCGTTTCTAGGTTGAGGTTTTTCAAAGAACTTGAAGATTCAGTGAGAGAAAGAATGAATGAGTCTGAAAGTGTTGGTGAATTGAAGAGAAAGGAAGAGTCTGTAGCATTTCCAATAGTGCTAACAAGGTGCAAATCTGAAAGAACAAGACGATTTTGATTTTGATTTTGATTCGTAGGTAAATTACATGGTTGTGTTTTTTTTTGCGGATACCTTGTTGTTTACATGAGTTTCAATTTTGATTATATTGTTGTATTTTTGTTTTTTATTTATTTATTAGAATTATAAATTATAGTCATGTTATTTTGTTAATGAGTTGAATATAGATATAGATCTATGATGTTTCCTTTTATTTATTTTTAACTACTACTATTTCATGTAGTATACTTTTTGAGTTGTTAATTACTTCTTTTATGACTTTGAGGTAGCATAGTTTTGGTGGATTTGTCAGTTCCTTCATGTGGTAAATTATTTTAAATTCTGACATCAATAAATAAAATGTAGAGACCTGCACACGTTCCAGGGTTCTGAGCAAATAATAATAATAATAATAATAATAATAATAATAATAATAATAGAGATTTATTTGGTTTGCAAATATAATTTTTCGGACAAGGTTAGTATATTGTCAATCCAAATTGGCTAAAAAGAAGCCAGGCCCAATGTCTATCATGGACTAGGGATCACTAGAGCATTTAACTTAACAAGCCATTACTTAGACCTCACACTTCTTATTTTTAGCGAATTTATCTTTTTATCCTAAATAATTTATAGAAATTATGAAATTAACTGTGTTATATCAAAAATTTTGTGATTATACCGAAAATTTGAAAAAATTTACTGTGATCTACCGTTTTTATGAGACATATATAAATTTTTTTGAAATTTCTGATAATTAATATAGAAAATTTCAAAATTTTCAAGGAAGTTAGACCAGAAAATATGAGATCTATGTAAATTGTCCAAAACATTCAGAAATTTTAAATTTTCAAAATTTTCGGTATGCATCAAGAATTTCCAAAAAATAAATAATTTTAATGTTTTTGACACATCAGTCTGCATAATGGTTTCACATATAATAAATACATATTGTCCATAAGATTACATAACAAATTAGGATGACTTCCTAACTTCATCCTTCCAGTGCCTAATTCGTCCTGCATATGCATTTTCTCATGCTTTTGCATCTTCTATACAGTTTTGTCTCCGACGGTCAGTGATAGAAGGCAATGGACTATCAGGTTTCAACTTTATCTGAACCAATGATTATCGTTGACAAAACCAACAATAATGATTTTATGTCTGCTCGTATACATAGGTGGAGTTATGGTAAGAGGGGAAAAGGTAATGTCCAGTCTCTGTGACAGGAAGACAACCACGACATTGTACCTACATGCAATAGGGTAACCCATATCAGGAAACGTTATCCATTTTTCTCGGTCCTACACACCCAAGTGCTCTACTTTTAAGGAATTCCTAACTTCAGAGGTCGTGTCATAGAAAAATTTGAAAAACAATTTTCGGTATTGATGAACTTGAGTATTTAACTGTGTCCGGACCAACGACCACGACTCTTCGCCACATCCAAGTAAAGTTGCAATAGCTTGAAAACCACCATTTATATAGTCACCCACATCAACAATATCATCAACGTATGGATGCAAGCAACCAGGAAACTGAGACAAGTAAAAATGCCTCGAATATGCAATAAACAATTGACTTTGACCCGACATACTTGAAGGTTCACTTCTTTTTTGTTTCATGCATGATCTCTTTGTAGTTTGACTCCCCTGCGAGCCCTCAACATACTTCTACTATGAAGGATTACGATACACATCACTTTCTTCACCCTTTCTGCTCTTCTTAACTCTCTTTTTTTTGGCTTGTACTTCACTGGCGGTGGACACATAGAAGTTGTCGATGAATGTGTTAGTTCCCTAACATTTTACTTCAACACCCTCTGGCCTACTATCGACTGTAAATTTCGACGTCATGTTCCCATTTGAGAAACTAAGTGAAAATTAAAAGTTTCTTAAATATGGGTGGCTTCGACAAGAGCTAGTATGAAGTTCTGTCGAAGGGGTTCTCATAAGGAGACGTGCTTGGACAAAAACAGAGAAATATTTTTTAAGTATAGAAGGTCACTTAGACGAAGGGGTGATTTTGAGTCTTCTTTCAACAGAAGTTTGAATTTCAAAATACGGATAGATAATTGTCTTTTGTCCTTATCCGTTTCTCTAGGGAGACATGTGGAGAACTATAGTGAAGGCATGCAGAGTGAAACATGTCAACTTTTGGAGAAATGCTCGTTGGAGACAGTTATTTTGACGTGTTATATATAGGAGTCTTAGTATTAGGGTTTATGTGTGTTCAATTGATATTGTACTCAAAATTTACTCAAAGTATCCAAGTTAAAGTGAGAAAAAAGTTACTATCGAAAAATGTACGTTTGAAACTCCATAGTTTATTCAATAGAAATTTACTTTCATTTTATCAATTGTTCTTTACTACACTTTTTACTTTGAAGTTATTTTATTCATTGCATTTCCTTTATCAACTCTTACAAAGTTTAATCTTTTCAATAATAATTAAAACAATCTTTTACACAAATGAATGTTGTCGAAGTGTTCATCAATTTTCCAGAATTACATTAATACAATGGCTATGTCCTCAGGATTTACTGGTTGATCCTGCAAGTAAACTAATTTTTTGGAAGACCAGCGGTTGTTTACCAATTTTCACGGTAAACAAATTGGTACGCCCAGTGGCACAGTGCTATTGTGTTTAAAAAGTATTCTTTTTACTTTTTCTAGAATTTTTTTACATTTAAGTTCTTCATTTTTATCTCTCCATACTTTGTTGCATGAGACTTAGGAGTGGTACAATAGCCACAAATAACGAAGAGAGAGACCATGGAGAAGACACGCAAGGAGAATGATGAATCCAAATCCACCAAACAACCAAAATAATGAAGAACCACCCATTCTTCTTCGATAGGGGGCAGTACGGTTCCAACGTCAGTGTCTGAAGCCATACCTTCTACAAAAAATTCGATGCCTGTGCAATTGATTGCTTAGAATGGTCTTATTCTATCCTATGTGGGAACACAGAGTCCACCAGTGACCCCCCATCTAGTGGGAAATAATTCATTTAGGATTTATGTGCCTGGGTTCTCAATGCCTCAAATAGGATACGAACAACCTTATGGCATGCCAACATCAGTGATGACAAGTTTACATAATGTGTCATCAATGTTCCCAGAACCATGGGTGAATGTAACTTCGCCATTTCAAGGATCTGGTTCAGGCATCAATAATATGAGCCAAATTAGCCCAAACCTTAAGGACATGATTTCCTACCCAGATGCCCAATACCACTAACCAATCTGCAGCGGTGATAAGGCAATAGATGGGCGAAAGTAATCATGAGATGGTCCAGATGCTTGCCCAACAAATGGGAGTTATATTCAATCCTTTAATCCAAAATACTACCCAAACTAACTAATAGCTGGCAGCACAAATGATGTGCATTGTTGATTTCTTTGGTGTTCCACAGTCCCCTCGACAACCTTAGAGGGAATGGATAGTATAGAATACTGGGGTGGACTTAGAAGAAGACCCTACAATTAACCAAGTTCAACCAAATATACCCCAGGCGAACGTTCTAAACCAAGGGGCAGTAGTCGAACCACCTAGGGTCGAACCTCCTACAATTGAACAACTAATCTAGAGGGAACCAAGGGTAGTAATGGTAAATGGGAACTATAACGTTGATGAAGTAATCAATTAAGTTAGACGCGAAGATGTAGCGGCAGATAATAACCTAGCAGCCATGGTCGAAAGGATTATGGCCGAAATGGGGTAAATGTTGGCTTTCATAGGCTAAATTATACATCACCTTTATCTGAATATATCTTGTAGTCAGATTTATCACCTAGATGGAAAGTCCCCAAATTTACTAAGTTTTATGGGGATATTAGCGAGCCCACAATTGAGCATGTGGCAAGATACTTGATAAAGGCTGGCAAAATTGCCAATAATGAAAACCTAAGAGTGAAGTATTTTCCAAGTTCACTCACCAAAAATGCTATTACTTGTTTTACAGCACTGTCGGTGAATTCAATCCATAATTGGACTCAATTGGAGAGATTGTTTCATGAACAATTCTATATGGGACAATCGAAGATAAGCCTGAAAGAATTGGCTGGCATTAAGAGGAAGTTCTCTGAGCCAATTGACAGTTACCTCAATAGGTTTCGACTGCTTAAGGAAAGGTGCTTTACTCAAGTGCCTGAACATGAGTTGGTCGAAATGGCCGCCAGTGGCCTCGGCTACTCAATTAGGAAGAAATGGGATACCAAATACCTGAGACATATGACCCAGTTGGCTGACAGAGTTCGACAAGTAGAACGACTGAAGGCTGAGAAAGTTAGGGTAAACAATAATAGAAAGGAAATGGTAGCCTACGTCGAGTTCGACGAAGATGAACAAGGAACTAGTGTATACCCCTTCTTCGACGAGAGTGAAATTGACCTTGCTGAATAAAAGCAATACCCACCTTACACCTGTAAAGTTTTAACATTGTCGAATGGAAAGAATCCAGTCGATTCAGAGAAGAACGATATGTTTCCTAAAAGGACCTATACCTTCAACGTCACCAAGTGTGACGAAATCTTTGATTTATTAGTCAAAGATGGTCAGATGATAGTGCCTCATGGCACTAAAATGCCTCCTTTAGAGCAGAGAAAAAAGCGAGGTTTTTGTAAGTATCATAATTTTCTTGGCTATAAAACGTCTCAATGTTTTCTTTTCAGGGATTTCGTTTAAAATGCCATCAAGGAGGGAAGACTCAAGTTTGTTGATAAGTCAAAAAACCAGATGAAGGTGGATTTCGATCCCCTTCCTGTTGCTGATATGCACTATTCAGAACCATATATGGTCAACTTGGTGGAAGTGGTTGATGACTTCACCATTGATGCTGTAATGGTTGAGGCTACTGATGGCTTCACTAGAAGAGTTAGTGAGGAGTCTAATCAAGAAACTACTGAGGGTTTCATCCAGGTTGCCGAAAATTTTAACTACGAAGTCATTGAAGACTTCAACAAAGAAACTACTAAGGGATTCGCTAAGAAAGTCACTGATGACATTAAAATTGAAAGC